TGATTTGCGTGGCGAGCGATTTTTATCTTTTGACTTTATATTTAAATTATATTTTATACACTATTTATTTTATACACTGAGGATGTTTTTTGTCTTGAATATGTGAGAATTTTATTATTGTGACACTAACACCTAGTCAAGGCTCTTAGCCCTTTTATTCATTGATTGTTATTCGTCAGAGCCGTATTCTATTATTAAATTATATTAGATTAAAAGTTAATTTATATTTATGAAATTAGATTTTAATATAGGTTTTTCTTTTTTATGTTCTTTTTTTAGTAATAAGTTCCTACATTTTTAATCTTTTATAAGTAACATCTTTTTAATTCTTTGATAACATTTTTATTAACTTAGTACAGAGAATTTCTGTTTAAATATTACAAATTTTTTAAATATTTATTTTCTCTATGTGTATTTTTAAATTGATATGACGATCAATACATACTTGTGATGTAAGTTTTGGTCTATAACAAAATTTTTTTATATACGTCGGCCATATTGAATCCACCAATTTTTTTGTATTTTTTACTTTGGATTTGTAATCAGCGACCTCCAAAACACTTAGATACAAAGTTTGGTACAGATTGAACAACGCTTTCATATTTTGGCCAGCTTTTCGGGATTTGGCCCCACTGTGCGTCAATCGGAACCGCGTGTCCGATTGAGTACATTATTTATTCGAGTAATAAATAATTCCTGCCGGAATCCTGTCCGGAACCGGGAGGAGCTGGACAGTTTCGTTCGTTACAATCCTATGGATATGAATGATATCGATAAAGTAATAAAGAGACAAATTAACAGAAGTGTGTGCGAATTTGGTCTTTCAACTCTTCATGCTTATATTCGAGTTTTTGAATGGTTATATCACGTTTCAGTGAGATTAAATACAAAGTCATAGCAGAAGAGAAAAGATACGAAAGCTCAGGTACAGGGTTCGAAATAATGCATTACTTTTTATAATGCATTACGGTTTCATTAAAGATAATTTTTTCAATAACCAATACGAAGGTTTTCAATTACGCATTACTTTTTAAATAATTAATGCGATTTTTTCCATTATGCATTACTTTTCAAATAATCAATGTGATTTTTTTCATTACGCATTACTTTTTAAATAATTAATGCGATTTTTTCGTTACATATTACTTTTTAAATAATCAATGCAATTTTGTTCATTACGCATTATTTTTTAAATAATCAATGCGGTTTTTTCCATTATGCATTACTTTTTAAATAGTCAATGCGATTTTATTCGTTACACATTATTTTTTAAATAATCAATGCGATTTTTTTCATTACGCATTACTTTTTCAATAATTAATCCGATTTTTTTTATTACGCATTACTTTTTCAATAATTAATCCGATTTTTTCCATTTTGGATTACTTTTGAATAATTAATGAGTAAAGAAATAATTAATTTTTAAAAAATTAATAAGTAATGCATTATTTTTAATTTGAATTTTCATTACTCTGCTCAGGTAGACGCTAGGCAAGCGCATATCAAGCATCGTTTCCACTCCGAAATGGGCTTGCCTGTTGGTATTATTATTCAAGGAAAAGGCACAACTCACGATGGAAATATGGCTCGCCGTTTTTTTGAAAATTCAAAAAAATCTGCAGATATAACAGGCATAAGTGAACTCCTCATTTCTAGATGCGCCGTTATCCTAAAAACGTTATCCTGTGGATATGCTGTCAAGTGTGTTTAAACAGTATGCATTAGACACCGCACGCTTATACGTGAATGAGTATCCATGGTATCCGATGCCAGCATCGGTGCATAAAATACTCATACATGGTTCAGATGTGCTTTCGGTTTCCTTGCTTCCTGTTGGAATGTTGAGTGAAGAGGCCCAAGAATCGCGTAACAAAGATTTCAGGGCATTCCGTGAAAAATTCACTCGTAAAATGTCAAGAATTGCGACGAATGAAGATTTAATGCATATCTTTTTGATATCCTCGGATCCAATAATATCGTCGTATAGATCACTTCCTCCCAAAAAAGGAGGATGTTTGGGTCCAGAGATTTCTGCTCTTCTTTCCACTCCAGAAAAAAATGAAGATAGTAATGATTCAGACGACGAGTAAACGTAAATATATATATATATACAGGGTGTCCTAAAACCACCGGAGGTCCTCTTAATGACAGATTCCTTAGAACATTTCCAGACGAAAATCCTAATACAAAAGTGTCGAGGCTATAATAGTTTTTAAATTAGAAGCGATTATTTTCCACAAATAATAGGGCTGAAATTTCGCGCGCTCAGGAACGGCGAAATGACAAGTGATATAAAAAGAACGATATTCATAGGAGCACTTATATCACTTGTCATTTCGCCGTTCCTGAGCGCGCGAAATTTCAGCCCTATCATTTGTGAAAAATAATCGCTTC